CTTTCATTCAATGATTATGGCTATGTAACTCACTTACCTTTGAATAAAGGCTGATAGTTTCGAAAGAAACTGTTTGGGGCTGCGTCGGTGGGAGTAACGAAATAATTTGGATATATCAACAAAGTTGAAATGGTAAATTGGCCACCGTAATGATTACAAAAGCTGACGAAGGGCTAACGCTCGAAACGTCAGCTTTTGTAATCATTACAGTGGCCAATTTACCATTTCAACTTTGTTGATATATCCAAATTATTCACTTACCTTTGCACTGCAGTTTACTAATTTTTATAAAATGTGCAAGGCTTGTAGTTTTTATACCACCCTCACAGGGCGTAATTCCTATCAGTTCAACAGCATAAATAACCAACACCAAATAAAGCATAATACATAACAACTTTTCAAAGAACAGGCAGACAACAGTGCAGAGCAACAACCATTAAAAAGAGTGGTTAGTCAACTGCTACACAAGCACACATACATGTACATTTACAATTTCAAGTAAATTCTTTTGACAGTCTCAACTCAAAACTTGATCCTCAAAATCATTTTCAACTATAGAGAATCAAGGCTCTAGAATCTAGCCTGATTGAGACACTTAGAGAACTTTTTGAGAATCTTGATCCCCAGTTTTTAGGAAACAATTATATTCTCAAATCAAACTTTGACTCAGATGTATACAAACTTTGACTCAAGCCTTGATTCTAGAAGTTTTCAAAAATTAAGAATTGAAGATTGAGAGTTGAGGATTGTGGATCAAGTTTTGAGAGACTGGCAACTTACTTAAGAATGGAACTGCAGATGACACAGTCTGTTTCAATACCTTAAGGTCCCCATGAGCTCATTGCTTTTCATGTGTTCACGCCGTGTTATGGCTGCCAACTTGCTAAGGTCTTCTTCATGATAATCTTCCTGACTCCCCCGAAAACAGGCAAAAAAAGATTGCGCTGCAAAACAAGATCAAGCAACATAAAATGAAATAGCAGCCACTTCCAGAGAAGGACTTCAGAAAAAAACCTCTCTCAACAATTATGGTTTTAGATGTGAACTAGGAAAACTGGATCAGGAACACAAAGTAAAGTCTTGTCTGAATACAAACCCTTTAACCCTTTCATTCCTATGATGTGATTGTTAACTCTCTCCTCTAGCTGCTACACATTTTCTTGCGAATTGGTAATGAGAATTTGGTATTGGATCAAGATAACATTTTCTACCTGATAATTTTTAGTATTTGCTTTGCCTCCCCGTTAGCTCAATTGGCAGAGCACCGGACTGTTGTGCAGGAGGTCGTGAGTTCAAATCTGGCCAGACCAACACTCAGGGTCTTTAATTAACTGAGAAGAAAGTGCTGCCTTTGTAATAATATCTGCAAATGGTTAGACTTTCTAGTCTTCTCGG